ACTCTCGTAAATCATTTATTCACCACAGTGTTTCCATTTCTTACAATAACTGTCACTGTCATAAGCGCATAAAATAATAATGAGTGAAAATATTTTTGAAAGCTATTTTATAATTTTATCTGACAGTAATGGACATGTTTTTTTTTTCTCTAGATAATTTATGTCTGTAGCAGAATACTGGAAATGTTCGTAAACGTCTAAACGAGAATGAATCCGCCTTAGTCAGCAAATCGGTCTCAGGAACTCCATAAAATAATTTCGATAAAAAAAATGGGCCCAGCACATTATCAAATCTTGTGGTTTACTGTAGTCGCATGGGAAATCTTGTATTTTTCTTTATTTTTAATATGTGCTCGCTTGAACTTTATTGTTTTCGACAAAGTGGTGTGAGCTGCCTTCGGTATATATTTTTCTACAGATGTAATACACATCTTAGACACTACAGATTTTCCCGTAATACTGGGAAGGGGTCGTTAATAATTTATACAATCATAATGATTTGTTTATATCCAAAAATAAACTAGATTTCGATTAATTTGAAACTCTGCGTAGTGGAAATACATCAAAATATTTATTTGTCTGAGGAACCTGCAGTTTACACGTCATCATCTTCAAATTCGGCACAAGAAAAGTGGTGTATATTAGAATAGAGTAGTAGCATGGCAAATTGTTTAAACCTTAACATTAATGTGTTGAGGCCCTATTTGTATGTAAAATTCATAGGTTTCTAAGGAAGCGCTGCCGTAACCCACCAAGAGATGGTGCAAACATAGTATGGCGCACATTTCTAGGGTGGTAGCCCGGACTGTGTGTTTGCTATGCATTGAAGGCTTGGAGCAATGGCTCTCACCTTTAAATCTGTTTCCAGCGCACGAGCAAAATCGATTAACAGAAAACAGCGGACAGCAAGTATTTCCCCGATTTATCGCTTTTGAAGGACGGCATAGAGCTTAACGTCATAACCGACAAGGGCAATTATAACCAGAGCCGCATTAACAAATTTAAAGACGTAACAAAACTCCCTTGGGTAAATCAATAACGTAACAGAACGGAGCCGGTCGCCCAACAAGTGCGCAACAATAACTGAAACAGCATGCAGAGGGGAGGTGGTGCTGTGTTTGCTCGGTGCTCCTCGTAGCTGGAAATTATGATTCACCGGCAGTTCGAGCGTGGAAGGTGGCAAACGGAAAGCATCGCCCCTACATGTCGGGTTCTCTCCTTTGTGCAAAAGAGGAGAAGGTCTCTCGACATTGATGTCCCCCTCAGGCCCCTCCCTGGAAGCCATACACAGCCTTGATGTCCAATTTTCATCTCTGCAGCGCCATTCGGTTAATATCCCTTTAGGTTTTTGCCACACTTCGGTGCACGAGGTTTCGTCTCTCCGAATGGCACCCGCGCGGGGTAGTACAATCGAGATATTTAAGTTTCACCAGAGAAAATTTTTCTAAGATGATGAGAGTGTTTGGAGCCTGCTGTTTAGTGAACAGACTTCGGCTTATCGATATCGCAATTTAATAGGCCCATGTGAAATAAAGTAGACTACCTGTAAGAGGCTTGAACCGAAAAAATATGAAGAATATAAACAGTATACAATTTTCGAGAAACATTCAATCAGATACTACAATATGTATTGCATGATTTAAAAACAAGAAATCAGAGTCAGATTTTGTCATAAAAGCGTGCAGGGAGAGGTCTTCATTTCTATTTTTTTTTCTTTGTTTTATTTCAACTCGGGTAGAGTGGGAAGGTAATGCCTGTCCCCATCTATACACATAAAAATAAGAACATACCGTCAAACCGGACTATTCCAAGGGATGGGGAGGATATTGTACACAGTATGACTCGTTTTGATAATGTGTAGTTTATATTTAAATAACTTCATGTAATTTTTTCCTTGAAAAAACAAACATACAACATCTAATAATGTCAATGGTAATTTTTTGTGCTGTTTTTGTAGAGAGTAGCTCCACACTCTTCATTGTTAAGACGATAAGTAATATGAAACTTCGGCAAAAACCAGCCCAATGGTTCAAGATGAAAAAAAAAAAAAGAATACGCTAACTAGCGTGCTTATAAAGGGAGCCGATAATATGGAGTCATATCACGGCGGTCTTTGCGCGCCGGCTGCGCCGGAATTGCTTGTGTAATCGATGGTTGAACGCTTTTGCGTGCTGGCGATATTGGCGCCGACGTCCTGTGACGTCGTTTCACCTTTATTAAAAGCCATGGTTCGCGTGCGTGCATGTTGCCGCGGAACTGGTTCGCATTGCTATGTCTGCTGTCCTTTTAAAGCTAGGTATAATCCTATTTGATGTAAGTGTCATTTAACGATTTATATTCTTGACTGTTACAAAAAAAAATGTTTTAGTGCTCATGAAATTTTGAAATATCATTGTTTGCCGTATTTTTGTTGCATAAGGACTGCAGAGACAATTTATATCTGATGAGTTATTTTTGTGTTTTTAAGTATATACCCTTGCCTTTTCTTGCGTTCGATAGAATGCAAGATAAAATGCATTTGCGTTCACTTTACCTTCAATATTATCTAGTGGCAAATTTAATTTTGGCACGGTAATTTAGAGCTTTACCAATTGTGTTTTTTTAAAACCAAGTTGCAAATTTGCCTCGCTTCCTAAGCATTTAGCGCAATTTCTTTTAATTTAAATGTGTGATATGAAATTGCAACTCTACAAATATGACCAAAACTTAGGGTGGTTTTATGACTATGTTTGGGACATATCTATAGTGAAGTCTACAAGCAAAATTTAAGCGGTTTTTTTTTGTTTTTTTACAATTCCGTTTTATTTCTAATTCCGCAGTCAGAGGGGCACATTGAAGGCCTTCAGAACGGCTGTACAACACTAGAGCGCACAACACTAGAGCGTTGACAGTAGAGCGCCACGACGTTAGCGGGCACGACACGAGAGCGCCGCGACGATAGAGCGCGCGACGATAGAGCGCTGCGACGTAAGCGCGCGCGACTCGAAAGCGCACAACCAGTCCAGCGCGAGTGGCCTGACCCGACCGACCACGTGTTAGGACATCGCGTGGTTTATTTAAAATTGGAGAGGATTTACGCCTCGGCATTCAGCAAGGACATTGCGAAATGAGCCGACGAAATGTTCGTGTGTGACAAACCAAGAAGTGTTACAAAAAGCACAGTGGAAAAAAAAAAAGAGGCAAATGAATATTTCCCGCGTACATTTTTGCAGAAAAAACACTGCCGCTGACCTAACTTCGTTATTTCCTTGATTTTAATTGATAAAGTTCACCACCGACATCGCTAATTTTTATTTTAAATTAATTTAAAACGTTCAAATGGAAAGAAGCAACATGTAACATGCTTAACCGTATTCTGGGGTTTTCAAGATAAATTTCAAGAATGGAGTTCTCGCACCAAATGTCGAAGGCCAACCATTCATGTAGTCACAAATGAAAATGGTACTAAACCCTAAATCTGGAAATCTGTGCCAAGTATGAAAATGAATTATGCGTGGATGTCAGCGTAGCAGATGGATAAAGCGCTAAGGCGAGACCTACAACATCCGGTGCGGCAGGCACAGTTGTTTCTCAGCTTCCACGAACATTTTGCTCCAGAAAAAATCTTGCATTTCAATACGTTCAAATTCTGCTTGCTTCTTCATTTGAAAGCTTGTAAGGGACACTAGTGTGGAGTTTAATTCACATTTTGTTTCTGCCGCCCTATTTAAATTGGGTTGCTGAAAGAAGTTCAAAGGAAGGCCGACGGGTGCAAAGAAAATATCACCTACGAAATGCAGCCGACAATATACCTTTAGCATTCGAAACTCGATCGCGTGGAAGTTTGGTTTAGGTTCATATTTAGAATGCTCTTGTCCGCACTTTGCTTTCCGTTGATGTTATGTTTTTGATGAATTCTTTAGGAAGGAATCGTACCCGTTTAATTTTTTGTATTTTATAACAGACATAATCAATCAATCAAAAATCACCAATGCTTCGGTTTGATGAGTCGCACACTTTTGTTCTGTCTGTAGAGCCGCGGGTACATCTCACATTTTGTGGTGTTCGCTGAACTGGGGAGCGCTCTCGTGCCGCGCACTCAACTGGTCGTGCGCTCTCGTGACATGCGCTCTAGTGTCAAGCGTGCTGCTGTCGCAGCGCCGTCGTGCCGCGCGCTCTAACATCGCCGCTCTATAGTGTCGTGCGCTCTAAAGGAGCTCTCCCCTTCAAAACGAACTCCTTTAGAGACTCAGCGGATTAGCAAGTGATCTTGCGCTTATCGGCGTGCGCTGGTTCGCCGTACTTTTAAAGGAGTTCCTTTATTGTGTCCTTGTGACTGCGCTATAAATTTATTTTTAAGACGAATAGCAGCTCTGCAACCACCACAAACAATGAACATCACGTGACGTATTTTCGGCCATGTAAGTTAATTGGAACTGCAGAGGGTATGTTGTAATATCTTCTAGTGGTCTGCCCGAACATCATGTTTAAATATTTTAAGGGAAACTGAAACTTAAGGCACTGTTTATTGAATGTGTGCAACCGGTGTTATTTCACAGTTTTCTTTGTTTCTCGGGCAGAAACATACTTTACCTGACAGCTATGTGAGTAATGCGTGAACCTATTTTAGGTATCTTGAAAATTACGTTCGCTGCCCATCCTGACCTCTATCGTTCAGGGAGAAATTTCAAGTGTTATTAGGTGTGAGTGGGGTAATGTTTTGTTAAGAAGATGCCGCACAAAAGCGCCAGGAACATTGTGTGTGATCGGCTATGTAGGGGATGCAAAATGCACCAAGGCACTGAGCGCCGAGAAAGTGCATTTCATTTGGTGATCCTAGATAAGGATCCACCGGAGTGTAGCTTCGGCTTCCGTCTAACTTAGAGTGAAACAGGCTGTAGTGACGAAGCAATATAAATGAGGTCTTGTTTCGTTTGTCCATGATTTGCTTCCGCTGTTCTATCCCAGAAGAGCGGTCGGCTTAACCCGAGTTTTCATCCTCCTTGTCCCTCTGTGTGCAGGTGTCGTGGGTGCGCCAGCGCGACCTACACATCCTGACGGTGGGCACGTACACGTACACGTCGGACCAGCGGTTCCACTCGATCCACCTGGAGGGCACTGAGGACTGGACCCTGGAGGTGCGCTACACTCAAAAGTGGGATGCCGGCGTCTACGAGTGCCAGGTCTCCACCGAGCCCAAGATGAGCCTCAACATCTCGCTCGCCGTCGTCGGTGAGTCCCTGCCCACCCTCGGTATCGCCGTGGCCTCGGTCATTGGCAAATTAGGAGCAATATCACCTAAATTACAGGGTGTGCGTCCATCTGTTATTGCTATAACTTATAACTATAGCCGCTGACTGATTTAAAACGACAGGGCGCCTTGTTCAGACGCCCGGGCTGTCGTTGCGTTTCGTCGTGGTCTGGCTGAGCTGTATGCTCGAAGCTCGCGAGACGCCAAAGAATTGTCGAAGGTAGGAATCTCGCACTGGAGGCGGGACAACGGAAGCTCCTCCCTACCGCTCTCAAAACTAGAATGAATCCTCGCACAGATATCCTAGCGCAGAAATGCCCATCTTGGTGACGAAAAGCCTGAAGCTATGAATGTCGGTCAAAAGAAAAAAAGTATATTAAAAAGAGCAGTGTACTTTTAATTTACGTTTGAATGTTTATATGGACATATGAATTATGCATGGTGCATGCCGAATACGGTGTGGAAAAAAGTCTCAACACCCAAAGTAATTGCATAATCTATTTGAGCTTATTCCAATAAAGCATAAAAAAGTTGCTTTCAAAGTTGGAGGCAAAAATACAATGATGCCAGGCTTGTGAGTGGGTTTGATTTGCTTTTTAACGTGGTTGCACGTGTTTTCAGCAGTTGCCCATGTGCGTTTCTAATTTTATCAACGCCTGCTGCTCTTCTGTTCTTCTTTCCTTCTGTAAAGGGGTAAATTACACTTATATCATCCTGAAAACAGCGCGAAAGGGACAAGGGCGCAGTGGAAGGACTACACAGGACAAGCGCAGGCTAACAACTGATTTTTAATGAACGCAGGCACTCTTCCTTATGATTTAGGTCATCACACAGTTTACACAAACTGAACGGTATACATCAAGTTCAAACATTTGAAGATATATGGTTCCCAATAAATCCTCACTGTACGCTGAGGAAAAAGCTTTGAGCCTTTTTACTCTGGTGAAGAAGGAAGACCAGCGAATGGAAAGGTTGGACAGCAACCGCCATCTATAAGCGACGGCGGCACCCAGACAACCGACTAGCCGGTCGTCTGGTTGCCGCCGTCGTTCATAAATGGCGGCGGCTGTCCAGAGTTTCGTGTCATCATTTGTTTGCTGACGGACACGATACTGGGGGAAACCAGCCCTTAACAGCTCCGCTGTAAAAAAGCGGCTATTGCGGAAATCGCCATTGTACCCTAGTTGTCTGCGTCATTGTTTCGTAAAACTCTAATTTATAATATTATTGATCCTGGACACGCGCCTTTCAGTTGAAGTATAGTAAGGCTGGCGTGCTAGGCTAGATTCGCCATGAGCCCCCGATACATGGAAAACTAGTCAAAACTGTAGCTTCGAAATATCAGCATTGGTAAGCTTTTTAAGTTAATTTTCTCAAACCGGGATATTCATAAGAATCTTTTTGAATGTTTCAAACGTAAATCGCGGGTTTCAAAATGGCAAGAGGTAATTTTTTTATTACAGAAAGTTGTAACTAAAATTATTCATTATACACTAGTAGACATTTCAAGTGAAACTTTAAGTTCCGCTTCAGAGCAGTTAAATTACTTTCGGTTTTATGGTATAGTGCAATATGGGGGCCTTGCGAATATGAGTATGAAAAATGAAAGCCAGGCTCCTGCATTTACCCAACTACCTTCTCTAGTACATGCGTACTTCGGAAAGAAGGAGCGGTATCTACTTTATCTGACTTCAAAGCCGCCAAAGCATAATTCCGCCCAGCGGTAATAATGAATGGACGGCTCTAAACGACCAACATAAATCACTACCGGGAACAAAGTGCGAAAAAAAGACACCTTTTCCACACAAACACATCTCATCGGAAAGCGTGAAAAATCGAAACCGATATTTTTCCCAAGGCCCACTTCAAACCAATCTCGTCACTAGGTCAACCGCGACACGAACCCGATTCCGAGATAAAAGAATCGAGGTGTTGTACTCTCTTTTTTCTTGGGTGCTATCCAGGTGACGAAAGTAAAGACGCCAACAGACGACTCGTTAGGACTGATTTAGAGCGAGTTGCTTTACTGTGGCGCCTTCTAGTACCGTAAAAACATACACACACGAATAGAAGGCAACATATAGACAAACCCATCCCCCATCTCCCCCCCCCCCCCCTCCCCCAAGATATAGACACGTAGGCAAGAAGAGATTTATGCACGCACCTTATCTTTCTTCTCTGAATACTTTGTTTTTTCTTTCTCATTTTGAATGTCATCCTTTTTAGTGCTGTTTTTTATTTTATTTTCTCTTGATGTTGCCTTTCCGTTGCGCTCAATCTCGGAGCTGATTACGGGTGTAAGCGTCAAATTTATGGCGTCCATTGTTGAAAGCACATCGTTTTCTTGATAGCATCGAATCTTTTATGCAGTTCTAATGACACCCCAACTTTCTTTTACTCTGCAAAAGGAGATGGCGCGTTAGCAGTGCTGCGTTTGCCCCTTCATTTCTATGTCTTTTAGTTTTTTTGTTTTTTTGGGGGTAGGGCGAGCTCCGTTGTTATCTATTCCCCAGTGCGGCAGGCATCATTAGGGTTGGCTTCTTTCTATTTTGGCTTTTGAGATTACCGATCTCGCGTCCATAGTCGCTTTCGCACAATGTAGCGCTTGGCGGAGTTTCTCGCACGCGCCTTATGGTATTAAAGTAAGCAGCTTAGTCGGCTTCTTATTTAGCGATGTTTGATGTTGCAAGCACAGTACCACTTTCTATGCGATATCTGTACTCGTATATGTGTACCCTCCACGGACGTTGCATGCTTGTGTTGGTCCCACCACACGACGCCATAATGTCACATGACATAATGGTCTAATGTGAAGTCACAATGATATGCTACGTCGTGATCTCAGGTGACGTCAAAGTGTGCCATTAGGTCATATTGTCAGATGACATCACACTGTTGCTTGACGTCACAGTATCTCATGACGTTAATATGCCACGTGACGGCATGGCTGACATCACGATTCCACATTATGGTTTACGTGACATCATAATGTCACATGACATCAATGTCTCCCGTGATCTCACAATGTCGCGTGACATTATTGTGTCCCGCAAGCCCCTAAGAATAGTTGTGAGAAATCTGCACGTACTCATCCTGTCCACTAGCCACCTCTCGATCAACCTTGCGATAAGTCTCGTAACGATTTTTTTTAGGAATCTCAATGCTGCAGTCAGGTTTGACCGCTGACTGGTTGCTTTTTCCTCTCCCCGTTTTTTTTTCCAAATCCTCCCGGCTTCGCCCAGTGGCCAAGGCGCGCATCCCGGAGGGCTCAAACCTGTACATCCAGAGCGGCAACACCATCAACCTGACGTGCGTGGTGACAGACAGCCGGGCGCCACCGGTTTACGTGTTCTGGTACCACGACGACCGCATGATCAACTACGACTCGGCGAGGAGGGCGGGAATCCGTGTAGCCACAGAGAGGGGGCCCTCGACCACGGTGTCCAGGCTCCAGGTGCCGGACGCCTCCACGGGGGACTCGGGCAACTACTCCTGCATCCCGTCGTACGCGGACCCAGCAAACATCACCGTGCACGTACTCAACGGTACGCTACGCGGGGCACGTGACTGGAGAAGGGACTAAGAGGGTAGTGCCCGAGTGTGCTCAAAACATGGCGTCTGGAGTTCGTCACCGACATGTTTATTCTCAACGTATTAATTCTTGGTTCCTTCATTTCGTCATAGTGACGTCAAAAATGGGTAACGCTTCTCCTCGCCGCGATCCTGGCGATGATATACAGTAGCGAATGTCAGAAAACTCTTCTATACTAGCATGCTCTCTAGCTGTCCATTTGAGAGAAACTTCGGCATCCTCGGGTTCAGAAGCCGCGTTGACTTCGACGACGAATTCGTATTATCTTTGTTTACAGCGCGTTTATAACAACCTGTAATGATTGCGATAATCTGTAGCATTACACGCAGCTCATTGGACGTACAGGAACTTCCTGAGACAGGATAAATCGAGCTTTTTGGCCCGGGTAACCAATCGATATATCCCAGAAAGCTCAAACTTCGTGAAAATATCACGCTAGCGTTTGGAATATAACACAGAAGGTCTGAGTAAATGACGTTTTTTGAGATCAAAAGATAATTTATATAAAACGCAATTTCTCTATAAGCCGTCGACCGCCGACGCATAGTGTTGTCGAAACGAAAATTGTCATTGCAGGCGTTTGTGAGATTCATATTGTTGTTGTTAAAAACCGTTATTTTAAGGAAAGGCGGGGATGGGAAGTGAGGTGAAAGTAAAGATGGCGAGAAGAGGGTGGCTACCCCTATTCTGAGGTTCAAAGCGCGGCGACGGCTTGCAGAGCGCTGCCTACTAGCAATCTCTGCCCGCAGACCTCCTCAATCCTCAGCCCCGCTTCCCACTTCTCAAGACTAAAATCACACACTGGCGCGAATCCCGGGATCTTCTTACGCAGCCAAGCCAGATGATGAATGTCCGCTCAGTGCGCCCCGCAGCAAGGACAGCTCGGTGTCAAGAAGCGTTCCGGGTAACACAGATGCATTTGGACTGGTGTCACAACCGTGTCCGTTTGCAGTCTTCGCCACACAAACTCTCCTTCCTTTGTCAGTTATCTGCTAGGAACAGGAAACTCCATCCCACCTTGCCTTCTGACCATCAAGAATTTGTTATAGGGTAGCCCATAATTCTATGCCTCTGGGGCAAAAAAAAAAAACCTTTTAGCAAGAAAGATAATACTGCTTTCTTTCTTACTAAGTTTTTTTGTTGTTTTTTTTTCATCTGTAGATGCTGCAGTAGCCCAAACTGTAATTTCTTGTTTTGACAATATGAAGCTCAGCTGGACCTCGGCTCATGGAGAAATTTTGAATTTCTTTGTATCTATTGATCCGGGTAACGTGATTTCATCAAACTTTCGAGATTTATTTTAGCTACTAGCGTCGTATTCTCACGGAGTTCGAGCTTTCTGCGATACAGAGATTGCTTGCTCCGGTCGAAAAACACGGGTGCAGTCTCGGGTTTACAAAACATATTTTGGTGCTAAACCGACCAGAAGAACCCTCGTTGCAGAAAAAAAAGATTAAAAACAGTGTTGTCAACTAAAACATTAAAAGCCCGCTATATGAATAGCGAGAAACGGCTGAAAATCACTAAACTAAAGGCGGAGGGCAAATATTATTTTAGCACTATTTATTGCTTTACTTTGTCTAAAAACAGCGCGTTAAATGAAAGAACCGTTAATAAAAAGCTTTCTTGTCTGACTCAAAGCTTTTCCATGCACAGAACAATCTTCACTTACTGTTAAAAGGTCTTACCAGGACCGTTGTCTAGCCTTACCTGCTGCTCTACATTTTCATAGTTCCGGTTTCTTGAGTAATAGTTTCTGGTACTTAAGTTGTGAGATGAGCTCGTAATTGGTGAGATGACATCATATTAAAACCGCGGGCAGACAGTGAGGAAGAGAAAGAAAAGTACAACACTCTGAGTTCTCTTCCTCACTGCTTGTTCACTGTTTTTAATATGGGGGGAGTTAAACTATTTAATGACGATATTTACAATCTTTTTTTAAAAGTTCTTTTCTTCAGTAGGGGTACCTGAGTCGTCTGGGGCCGCTAGAATCTTCAAGAAGCCGGTTCTAAATTAAAATCATATCGCCCTCATTTATTTCTAAATTCTTGTGCGTAGTTCTTTATGACCATGCCATCTCACAGATGTAGAAAATGAATTCATATATTGACGCACAAATCACGTAAATTGCTGAGGTTGTTGTGCAAATCGTTTTTCGAAGTTTGCCGCCCAACTGTCTCAATGGCGTCGCAAGCGTTATTCTCATTGAAAGCAATTTTGTTGAGATTAAGTCGCTCTAACTTACCACGAAGTTTCAGCTTTTTAAGATTGATAAATGTAAACTTGAGATTTAACACCGCAAGAGAAAACGCAAGCATAACTTGAAAAGCGCTAAAAAAAATCCTGCCAACCGCAAATTGATACTCTTTCTCGATATATATAAAAAAAAATAGCGGGAAATTCGTTAAATTGGCAACACAGGTTAAAATGTCCTCTCATGAAATCCGCAAATATAACGGTTAGAATACGATGTTCTTACCTCGCCTTGATGAAGCCGTCTTTTTCCTTTTTCCCAAGTGATGAGAGAAAACCAAAATACTAACACTTCACCAAACAATGTTGTTATCTGGATATTCAGCTCTGCATTCAAAACTGTAATCTAAACAGCAGGCGTTCCTCTGGCAAGTTGATGGATGCTTGTCTGTGCTCTAAGCATTCGTTCTGAGCTTCAAGAACACTTTTGCAATTTCTTTGGGACACCCAGTTACTATAATATTTTGTATTCCAAGCGAAACTAAATTTTTTTATTTATTTCTTCGGATGTTGTTCACCTAGGCTGTGTTCAAACACTTGTTCGTGTAGGTCGGAGTTACTCCTGTAGATCGTATATGTGATAACAGAGAAAGAGAGCGAGGCTGGACGCCGGTAGCAAATGGCTCTGTCATTAGGTGTTTAAATGCTAATTTGCAAATCCTTTACTCTGAAGTGAAATATATTAAATTTGAAACAAAGCAGTACTCTTCTATCTCTGTCCTCTAACACCCTCTTCTTGAACAGAGTAGCCAGCTGGTAGACGTGTCCAGGCTTGCCTTTTGGCTTTCACTCATTTTGACTGGAAGCGTGCTGGATGGTCATATTGTCGTCGACAGAAACATAGGTTCATGTGAAGACTTAAAATAAAAGTTTAATAAGGCGACCTTGTTTCTACAAGTTAAAAAAAAGGTACCAGCATCTTGCGTGGGCGACGGAATGGTGACCTTCCTCAACCAGTGCCTTAGCGCTGCTTGTATAAACGCGACACCGTCTCAACCAGAAAATAACCATGGCAGCCGAGATGGTCTAAAGCTTTTCAGAACAAAGGTTGATAAAAACAGGACTGGGCTAACGCGAATTCGAACCCCGTTCCTCCACGTGGCCACCACATGCGTTGTAAACTCCAGCACGCATGCAGCAATATTTTCATTGCCTTTGATGCGATTGATTAATCCTACGACTCGCGCTCTCATTTACGTTTTCTGCTTGTTGTCGAGGCACAGCCATTATTAGAGATCTGTGGTTGCCAGGTCAGTGCGGTGAGTGCTTAGTGGTCATGTTGTGGCCTTCAGTTATTAAATATTTTTATTCGTTAACGAAAAATTGTTATCTGTATTGTTGTAAATCTTCTGCATGCAGCACTGCTCAACTGTCTTATCTTGTCATCTCTTCACGCATTTAACAAGGCGGTAATAGTTTAAACAAAATACAGTGATGCTTAGACATTTGACTAAAAACCCCAAGACGGAAAAGATGCGACTTGTGTTTGTCCGTTTTTTTTTCTTCCCAGTCTCGGGGTTTTAGTCAAATGTTTAACCAGCACCAGCTCTATTGCACCCTAACCTTTTGTAGGTATTATACGTATCAACTCATATTTCTTATATCACAACAGACCTTTAATTAGTGCTGCCTGTTGGGATGTAAACTGCGAGATGATTCGTCTTCCTAAAACTGGGCTCCTGCTCATGGACGTGAATAACAAATACAGTCAAGCTGGTAATCTAACTGTGCAATTAGAAAAAAAAAACAAAAAAAAACTAAGACTGAGAACATATTTTTAAGAAAATATACAAAAACGCACACGTAATCTCCAAATTCAGTTACTAATTTTATTTTACATCACCATCTTTCTACAATCGTCCACACTCTCCGGAGGTTACCAACCACCTCGCAATGAAATAAGAAAAACACACAAGAACCAAAATTCACTGCCACAGGGGAACCTACCACACGCATCCGCTGTAGCCGCGTTTTTAGGCGGTTTTTGTGCATTTCTGTCTTTTTTTTTCTTCTCAGTTGCAGGTTATTAATTATAGAGTTCCTGCGTATGCCCACCTCAGAAAGATTCTGGGAGAAAGTGGGTCATTTTAGAAGCAATCCACCGGTGTGCCGCAGTGAGAAATATTTTATTTATGTACTAAGGTTGCAACTTGGCCCACTCGATAAACGCTGTACCTTGTAGAAAATGAACAGCTAAGTAAAAGCAATGCCCAGTCGTTTTGAATTTTCTTCGTCCGTGTTAACTGAGCTGCTCATCCACATCATGTAGCGCACAATATTACACCACAAGCTTTATGTTGCGTGATATAAATACGAACGTAATCATCGCTCAAATGTCCCGTTGCTCTGTTTTGTGCAGGTGAAAAGCCCGCAGCCATGCAGCACGGCCGCCAGGGAAACCTCGCTGAGAGGTCGCTGTCGTCGCTGCTTCTCGTCACGGGAGTGTTGTTGTCACACCGACTCTTCACCCACGCCGTGGTGCAGAGATAGTGCGCTGCCTCTGGGCGTCAAAGGCAGACACTCTAGTGCACAGGACGCCGGGACCCCATCCATCGTGTGTCCCCGCCAGTGTCAGTGCCAGTTACATCGCCAGATAACCCAAGCAGACGTGTCGTGAGAGTTGAAACTATACGAGGGACATCTTCGAAGCGCCGCCCTGTCGGTCAAAGAGTTAAACTGTTTGACGGGACACTGGCGCCCCTCTTTTTTTCTTACCGCGCTTTGCAGACGACTTTCGCAGCATGGTCGGCGGAGGTTACGAAAAACAAGTCCCGCATTTCTCGTTTTGAAGAACGCCGTGATGCGGGGGACCGTTTGAGAAGTTGGGAGCTATAAGCGCTGCGTGGAATATTAGATTATTTACTTTGAATGAGTGTTACTCCTTTCCTAAAAGTGAGATCCTTATGTACTTAGTTGCATCGGTCGTCCGCCCCATTTTTCTTAGATTAACCATTAGAGATTTAATATTTCGGTCCACTCAACCCTTTGATATGATGATATGATCCGTTCTTTTCAGTTATGTTCAGCGCATATTACATTAAGATTAATTATTTTCATGTCACAATCTGACAAAAAGCACGACATATTAAAAATTTCCTGTTTAATGATACCTGATGAACCTGAAATTGTCTTTTTTTTAAGTGTGGTATGTTTTTAGTTCTTGCATTGCTATAGAGAAAGCGGCTTCCCCATTAGCGTTTCCTCCGCTGAAGAGGAAAGAGATGGGAGGAACTTCCCCTAAACTCTTAACGTGTCACCGACTCAGGCAACATCACGCCAGCTATACCACGAGATCTTCTCTACTCGCACAAGTTTCAGTACGGCACAAACCCAAGAATACGCCACAACCGACGCAATATTTTCAGGTACATGCCGATGGTGTTCCTGTAAGACGTGAAAGACACAAGGTCCGGGCAGCAATGGTATTTTTCCCCAATAACCTGGCTTTGTTCGATTGGTTCGACGCTTTGAGTGCCAGCTTACACTTGAAGTCATTCGATAGACGTAAATTAATGAGTTCATATGATAGGAATAACCGAGTGACAAAACCGAAATTCTCTTTAAAGAAGCCGGTGACTTAACATTTTATTATAATGTTGTTCACTTCTAGAATAAATTATCTCTTTAATAAAGTAATGTTTGAAAACAAGAGATATTCAAGTTACTGCCTAAAATCTCTTTTTAAAAAACAAGAAAAAAAAGTTGTCGTTTTGCTTGTTTCTACTCTCGATATCCTCAGGTACTTATATATTGGTATTAGAGCAGTTTTTAAATTTTTTTTTGTCGCAAGTACCATGATAATGAATCATCATTGCTTTGATTGTTTCTTTTAAAGCTGCTTTCGTTTTTTTAGCTTAATCTAACCGCAAATTTTAGACAAAGCGTTTCTTCAGGTAAAGTTATACTGCCTTCCGTGGTGCTCGTTTTGTACTCAGAAAAAGCATCCATATTTTTATCAATATCGTTCGGACCCAAAGCAGCAGCGTGAGATCACAGAGGTAGGTCTCTGAGAACAGACTGTAACGGGGAAATCTTTAGCTTAGCCTGTTCTACTAAATCTGGACTCACATAAAACACGAGGACGACAAATCAGCTTGCGTTTAGTTTTACAAATTTATATACTTCTTGAAGACCAAGCCATGCCAAACCTGTAGCAATTAGAAATTCACGGCTGCCTCCAATTTGTTTTTGTTGCTTCGTCATTGAAACGGAAGGAGTGAAGCAAAAAATCTCAGGTGAGCATTTCCGACACCTTATGTTGTTGTATTACTATAAATACATACGAAATGGCGCCACGAGGTGGATTCTAGGTCAATCTTCAGATTGGTTTATCAACATCTTCGGTGACGCAAAGCACTGGCGCTGAAATACGACATTCCACCATGGAAGGCTATGTGAAGCGTGATTGGTTGTAGGCTTCGAGAGCTACCTGTTATGAGTTGGGAACGCTGCTCTGTATCTTACACTTTAGCAAAACATTAGATGTGATGCGATGAATGAATCAAATAAAGGAGATCGCACTTTTAATCTCTGGTGTGGCATACGGTCCAAATGACGTTTTTTTTTTCAAATAAACCTGTTTCCAGAGAGAAGTTGTGACCGCCACCCCAAAGGCAATGGCGCGCGACTGCTGCAACAAAATATGCTTTGCTTGTGCGAGCACTTGCACGGAAAACGAGAATGTTAAGGCTCGTGTTGGGCGTCGTAAACCTCATCAAGCCTGCACTAAACTTTTGAGATGAAATATGAAGTTTTCATAGGACGCACGATATCAGCGCTTAATTTGTCACGTCGCGATTGTTTCGAAGCCATACCAAAATGATGGTCAGATTGCAGAAGGCTAATCTGTGGCTTTTTAAAACACTGATACAAATCTTACCTGACACGCGAAATATACGTTCCTAGTCACGTAGAATATACAAAACCATGCCATATTTTTTCACTTCCAAATATTGCTCCTATTTTGCATCTTATGATGTCGGGGTATTCAGCACTGCTGGCGTATGTACCCCCAGCTGTCGATATGACAACCCTAGCGGATATTGTCTGCGCATTAATTATGAATGTGGCATTTGGCGGTCTCGTTTGACTGTTAAACTTCCTCGTAACATTATGCAATTCAACTCAGTGCTTTTGTGGTATAGGAGGCGATGTTTGTTTTTTCCGGATTTCTTTTGTAATATTTTAGGGTTTTTAACATTACGATGTAGCAACGAACCACTTGAACATTTGAGGCAATTTCTAACCGAAATTGTGCCACCAGCGTATAATCTGGTTTTTTCCATATTTACGGTGATAAACATAAAATTGGTAAACTAAGTTAATTTATTTAGCCAAATAATTAGCATTAAAGAAGCGAAACGTGCTACGCTGCATTTTGAATACTCCATCTTTCTCTGCTGTTCTGTAAGTCAAATTCAGGGGCAACTAATTGCACAAAGAAGTCAGATAGAAATCACGCTTTATATTGTCCTCACTAAACTAGCGCAACACTGCTAGCACGAACAAGCAATCGCCTTTGTCTACTGTTTTCCTCTTAGAATCCAAGGGCGGCCATAAAAACTACTGTTGTGATAGAAAGTGTTCACTTTGAAGACTAACCGTAGCTGTACATTTTTTTTGCCCACAAATACCAGTTAAAATTAGGATGTTGAATAGTGCTGATGTCGAGTTTGATCTATCAGTGTTGAGCAGGGTATGTATCACTCCGCCTAGCGCGAGCACGGATAACTTTCGGGGGGCGATATATCACGTTACCTCTAACTCGCTAGAAGTGGTGTCCTGTAGGTTTGGCTTTAGTTCATTTTAGTGCGAGACGATGTACAAGAAATAGCACTGGATCCTCTGCCTTCGTGTTTCTCTTTTTCTATTGTTCAGTGGGCTGCTCGCAAATTGAAACGCCACAATTTTAGTTAGCCACTCAGGAAAAAAGGCATTCTAAAGTCATCTGTTAGAGTTATAAACATGTTTTGAAAGTTAACTACCATAATTTTCACTGTTTTCCTTCACTGTGGAGTATACTCATATGGCCACAGTATAAACAGTTTGGCACCGAACGACCTATGAGAATATTGCGAGAAAGGTGAAGGCAGTGACCTTGTATTGGTCGTGCATCGCCATAAAGCTATAAACACCACTTGCGTTCTCGCCCTAGTTCTGTAAAATATGTATGCGTTCTGTGACCTTCTTCTAAGTCGTTTGTTGCGGACCGCATTCCAGTAATGATATATACACATAGTGCCCAAATGGACGAATCCTGTACCATCAGACATGCAGTGAGGGTGCAATAGTTGTCAACGACATCTGAAATAAGCTACTTTTCAGTATGCTGGCAGTGAAGTTAAACTGGAACATTGATTGGATGACTTGCTTTGTGGTATTTTTTTTCTAAAGGATGAATGATACCAGTGATCATCAATTCAGTAAATATAACACTGACCAGTGACTGAACAACGCAGAAGTTTCGCCCATTTGGTATGCAGACATAATTAAAAAGAAAACAGCACAAAGACGAGGGCAAAGAAAAAGGTAACCGACTGGACAGAGCTCTGACTCTAGACTGAAGATTTATTCATGTTCGAATACAGTATACGTAGCATACATCCCACACAAAACAAAATCACGCAAAAACAAACAAAATGCATATCACGTGCTCAATACAACACCGTCGCTGGTTAGCCCTCCTCGCTCCAAGTACTGCCGCTTTTTATTTGAAAGTGTGAGCGACGGGGCGCTAACACAATCTGGTCTCAATTTCGTGATGTCACGAGCTTTTATAATTTGACGCGTGACTCTGTCTTTATTTTTAAAACTACTTGGCATTCGTCGAAGCCTGGGATGCAACCGCAATCTCGGCAGTGCACCCCGAGGTGACCCGACTCAACTTAAAAAAAAAACACGTTATATCGGTTTTCTCTGAGCCGATCGTTGACGCATCTTCCTGTTTTACTGACATAACGACGGAGCAAACTAATGAAATGGGATAGGTCGTTCCCCGCACACAAGCCAGAAAAGCTAATTCAGATATTTAAAATGAAATCGGATGATCTACGAAAATCATGAGCCATTCCGCTCTGAGAAGGTGGATGACCAGTAAAGCTGTTTAGCACTCGACACAAACGACAAACTATTTTAAACAAAGGTACGAACACATTTAGTATCCTGATCGGTGGTCATCGTGACGAGAGGTACGCACACACATGTCGAGGACTATCGCCGCCCCGAGGAGCCGGAGGACATTAGACACTTGCGACGGGACCGCCACCTAGAGGAAGGAAATGGAACTAGGCACGCATGTGCTTTGAACGACGACAAGGAGAGGACGGTGCGAGCCCTCTCTGAGTTTTTGTTGAGGCACACGGAAAATCCATGGAACCCTCGCCAGTTTCGTTGTAAAACAACAACATCAATTTGTAGCTTGCGTGCCGGGAGTGGTCTATTCCATTCCATTATCATGCGGCCGTCGTTATGTCGGTCAAGCAGGAAGATGCGTCAACGATCGATTCGGAGAACACCGATATAATGTTTTTAATGTTGTGCCGGGTTAGCTCGGGACCACTGCAGAGATTGCGGTTGCATCCCAGGCTTTGACAAATGCCGAGTGGTTTTTAAAATAAAAACAGAGACACGCGTGAAACTATGGAAGCTCGTACCATCACAAAACTGGGACCTTATTGTGTTAGCGCCCCGTCGCTGGCGCTTTCAGATAAGGAGTGGCAGTACTTCGAGCGAGAAGGACAAACCAGTGACGGTGTTGTATTGAACTCGTGATATGCATTTCAAGTGTTTTTTCTTGATTTTATAAATGCCGTATGTATGCTCTTTATACAGGAAGCTGAAATAAATGAATCTTTAATCGAGAGTCAGCGCTGTGTCCTGAAAGTTACCTTTTACTTTGTCCTCGTCTTTGCGCTGTTTTGTTTTTAACATGATAGTAATTGGGGTTGTGTTGATATTTATTCAGCGTGCAGTTGGTCAGCCATTCAAAGTTGCGACGAATCACTCGCTGTAGATGAGCAATTTAGCCAGTGCAGTACAACCGCTAGCCTTGGGTTTTTAACGTGCACCACGCAGTTGTGACACACGACCGCACGCCGGTACGATGCTCATCCAGATCGAAACGGGCAGGGTTGGGGATTGAACCCAGGAATCCTGGGCTTTGCAGCGCGAGCTTTCGCTCCATGTGCTCCGAGCTGGTGTGCACTAGCCCACTCGGTCACCGATCCCCCTTGTTTTTAACAGTAACTGAAGACTCTGTGTATCAAGGAAAAGCTGTGTAGACAATGTTCCTTTTTGCTACTGTTTTGGCTATAGTTATTACAACTGAATAACGACAGGGAGCGCTTGACTTCCGGCGTTTGTAGTGACTTCTATTGGTTTATAATATTCGTTATGGGATAATGCTGTAATCTCAGTGGTGACCCAGACGTAACAAGGTGTCCACGATTACCCGCACTCTGGTGTTTTTCGACTGTCAGCGACGATGTGTCGTTTTGTTATTACGACGAATGTTATAAAGACAATACGGCCGAAACACCCTCCGGACGCTTGAACTACGAGTATCACCGAACAGTCAGATACGGTGATATAAACGCGCATTTTCGATTGGGTAATTGATAAATGTTAAAGATCTTATTGTGATGCCATCACTGTTCAGATCTCAATTTCGGACATTTCCATACTGTCTCTTTTAAAGTGGAGTCACTTTGGGTAACTTTATTTGCCACACGATTCGTTGACATGCAGTTATACTCCGGTTGTGAATGTGTTGTATGTTTAACGTATTCCTGGTTTAATATCTGCTATAAGGTAACTTCGCCTTGATTTATTTTAATAAATGAATTGGTTGTTCATGTTAATTATTTTAAACAAATGTTTCTGAATGTGGATTAGGAAGGTTTCATATGATTGAAATGAGCTTTGGTGATTTTTGTTAACTTTACGACTTGGTTTAGAAACAGTTAGATATTTAGGTGGATTATAGTATTTTACGTTTAAAAGCTTACCCTAAACTATAAAAAATATATAGTATGAATATGATTTATGATTAGTATATGCTATTCACTATAATCTTATCGTATATCTGCTTTTATTGGTAACGATATTTCTCAGCGTAGTACGTTACAAATTTGACTATATTTTCTCTAAAGCGAGAAATATTTGTGCGAAAGTGAAGGCCTGCTTTCTTTTTTTTTTACCTTTTATGTATGGCACTAACTATTACATTTGATTATTATAGAAGAAGTGGAGTAACTTTCAAGTCTTTTCTTATCTAAGCACATTTAGTAGCCGGCAGTTATTTTTTGTTTCGGTACTTTTGAAGTACGGGCAGCATAGGTCGCTAAACCCACCAGTCGAAGACGCGCTCACATGTTTTGACTGCGACAAAGCACCATTTGCAGGCGGAAATAAAACAAAAAAAAAAAAAGCACCGAATGCCGCCTCCTAAAAGTCCCGAAAATTTGCTGATCGTCCGCTACAAATCGTGCGCCGCGGCGAAGTGAGATCGGGCGCGGGCCAAGCTG